TATTCAGTGGCGAAAAAATTTTTGTCGTTTAATGGTGTTAATCTTAATTATCAGGGAAAGTTATTATAAATATAAAAAGTTACGACTGTACCAAGTGCTTTGACACTTAAATTTATGATTTTTCAAAAAGTGGATTTAATCGATTTCTGCAGTGAACTCGATTATCGTTGTGTGGAATATAAATCGGAAAAATCGGTTTCAAGGATCGCGCGAATGCTGCATAATTAGTCGCACTACTCGTCAACTTAATTTATTTTGTAACGAGTTATAACGTAATTTCGTTGAAAATACATGGCTCCATTAACACTAGGGTAATGCGCACCTGAATATAATATACATAGATAATAAAATTTAAAGTGTTATCGCGGAAAATAAATTACGTTTTTATCTAAATAAAAGCAGGCGTTAATTTTTCCAAAAACAACTGCATAGCCGGGGGTCTGAAACCTGGTATTTTAACGAATTTGATATTTTAATCAGTTTCTAGTGGTAAAAATAATTTTTAGCTTGAAACGTTTAACACTGAAACTACCAAAGCAGTCAAAATAACTTGCTCCTTATTTTTGCAATTAATTACAAATTAATATTGATTTTTATTTTCATTGCAATTTATTTATTATTTTATTTATATATATATCTAGTGGTAAAAATAATTTTTAGCTTGAAACGTTTAACACTGGAATTACCAAAGCAGTCAAAATAACTTGCTCCTTATTTTTGCAATTAATTACAAATTAATATTGATTTTTATTTTCATTGCAATTTATTTATTATTTTATTTGTGTATATATATTATTATTGATAAATGGGCATTATAGATGAGTAGTTCTAGTGTTAAATGACACGTCCACGATAGTCACAAAATTATTGTCGTCCATGTATCCTGTACGTTCTTTTGCAATCCTTAATTTCAACCCTATAGTTTTCAGAAAACGTATATTAATTTATTTCGTATTTAATATTAAAGAATTAATTCATTTTTAAAGCTGGGCCTTCTAGAATATCCTCAAACGAACCGAAGATACTAAAAAAATATTCCTACAAAAATTTTTCGATATATAAGTGTATACAAACATTGTTTCTATATCTGGAAAATGGTATAGAATTTTTTAAATTTATATTTGTTTTATTCTAACAAATCTGATTAAATGGCGACGTAGGGTTAACAGTCCTTGCCTCACGAAACACCGACTACACCTAAAAATCATCCCCTCAGCACTCAAACTTCCCTTAACACTTTGACTGCCACGTTGGTCATATATGAGCGTCCACGGTTTCTCCTGTGACGCCACGGTGGTCATTTAACCGGAGCGCTTGAACTACTTAAACTACATTGAACAACATTGAATGAAAATTGACAGTTAGTGCATTTGGAATCTAACCGCTACTTGGAAGATACTTTGAAATAAAAAGTGCCTCATTGAACGATTAAAAATTTTTATTAGAAAAAATATTGGAACAAATCTCGCATCTAGCGGTGCACTCCCGTGGCGTCCTGAGGGAAACATGTGATTTCGGCGTGGCTGTCAAAGTGTTAATTAATATCCATGTTCGAAATTTGATCAAATAGCGACTGCCGCGAAGGGGTGCCTCCTGGCACTGGAGTGGAAATTAATCCAATGGCTATAATATTCTTTAGATGACTATACCCAGTACTGTATTGTCAGTTGTCAATTCCTGTAATGCTGATTGAGCTATCCATTGATTATTCTAATATTTCTGTGGAATTTAGATGATCAGCGAATAGATTAATCCAATGACAATAGTATCCTTTAGATGGCTATACTCAGTACAGTGGGGTGGCGAATGGCGAAGGCCTCTATCAAATAATAAGCAACGGCATTGGCTTTGACGAATGAGTGTACGGAGCGCATGGAAGCGTTTGGACGGCTCCTCGAAAAGCAAGGAGTAGCAAACGGCGATATCGGGTGTTTGACGCAGGAAGAACAAATGATAGCGGCAAATCCTTTTGTCGGAATGTCTGTAGAATGATTGAGAGAGAAAGCGTGTCTATAGAATGAGATAGATCTGGCTTTAAATAGGGATGTAAGGGCGCGAGGCAGGCAGACAGGGTGTAGTCGAGACGTGAGTGTTATAATTGAGAGGAACCTTGTGTATTATGTCAATTAAATAAACTTGTTTTGTTATTAACACGTCGAGTGCGGCGCCGATTTTGCTCTACTTTCCGCTCAGGCGGCAGCTGGCGAGCACTCGATGCCGAGCGCTCAAGTATACCGAAGGGTATGAGCAGAAGATTACTTTGTTTCACTTTGTCGTTTGGACTGTGAGAATGGTACAGCCAGTGCACAAATATACAAATTATAAACAGAAGATAATGGGGTGGGGAATGCCAGAAAGGCAAAAAGGCGATCACCAAGAAACGATCAGTCGAAAAAAGCCACGGAAGTGTAAAGATTTACTTTAGCAGAGGGAATTAAATTTTTGCGATATATTAATTGTCATTGATAATTTAACCCTTGACAATGCCAGTCTTACGCACCGATGATGATCAAACGAAAAATTCGCTGTCAGTCCCTAGAATCCACACCGTCCAAACGAAAAGTCTACTGTCAGTCCCTAGGGACTGACGTAGCACTCAACGTGTTAAAGAGAGTTGTTCTTTATTAGACACGCAGATTTTGGTCTGCATAGGATTAATATAGCTAAAAATCCTACGGTACTGTATTTTGCCTCGTGAAACACCGACTATAGCTAAAAATCATCCCCTCGGCACGGGAACTTCCCTTAAGCCGAAACTCACCCCGAATTCACCCCCTGTGAACGAGTGTCGAGACGTATCGGAACGAATTAACAATGAAGAACCGCGGTTGGTCGGTTGTCCGGGACACTTGACGGTTTTCCGGCGGACACGTGACTTCTCCAGCTCGTCGAGCGACCTTAATTTCCGGCCGAAGTGATGGCAGATACAGGTAATGCCCGTCGGCATCGGTCGGGACGAAAATTGAGCCGGGAAAAGAGAGGGAGAGAGGCCAGGCTACCGCCGATTCAGCGTGGATTTAATTTAATCCCCGTCAGTCTGTTCTGGCCGGAGGGCGTCGTAAACACCCTCGACCGGTTATGGCACACCTGCATCTGTACTCGTCCCACGTAAGGGTGCGTTAAGCCAGCCCTTACCTCGCTTAACGATCCACCTTGTGCAGCTCTTTGCACCGACGCACTGTTCTTTTGCCAGCGTTGTGCATATTCTGCTCGCAAATATTGGAAGAATGTGCTTGCTCCGACGTTAGGGGTCTTTGATAGCTGCTCCGGCCCCCGGATTCTGTCGGTTTCGTGCGCGGCAAATTTGTTGCGAGCTGGGAACATCCTTTTGGCGACGCGGAGACTTGGTAATTGCGAGTTTCGATGCTAATGAACGGGGATGGAGTGAATTAGGGGTTCGCTATGCAGGACAGCAATATGTTTCTGTTGTAGTGAAATTAAATAGTAAGGGAAATTCCATAGTCCAGCGGTATGGGGGCGACACTTGATTTGACTACAGCGCTCCGGGGGTCACCGATGACCCCCATCATGAAAAATACATTATCCCCAGCTAGACTTTACGTTTGGGCCCAGCCAGTCTTCAGACTTTTTAGGTTCCTATTACACTTTTGGTGCTAATTCTTCGTCATCTTTGGACCTAACATTTGGGAATTCCTTATTCCAAACAGTTGGTACATTATCTCCGAGTTTTATGAATATTGTTATTTATATTTATGAACATCGCTCGCCACCGATGGTCCACTTGACTTGGCTGAGTTAGGTCTGAACGGAATGGCAAGTAAAACGGGCTGGGCTCTTAACGTGTTAAAGACATTTTTACAATATCACGTTGCAAGTTTTAGGTATACTATACTATATTTCCCTACCTCAAAAAATAAATTAGAAAATTTTCATTAACAAATTTCTATTACTTAACACTAGATTGACGGAAGGGTTGCTCCAATTATACGATGGTAACAGATTTAGTTAATTTATATTATGTCTGCTAATATAATATATAATTGTTTTTAAATTGTACTAATCGTTAAGAAAAAGGCACGTGGTTTCCTTTACCTGTCAATTTGACAGGTGTCCTTAGAAATAGGTATAAAAATAGCGTCCTAGCGTAAACCTAGTGTTAATTTCACAAGTTAAGGACGTTTCTGCAATATTACGTCGCAAACATAAGGAACACGGTATACTATACTATATTTCCCTACCCCAAGAAATAAATTAAAAAATTTCCATTAACAAATTTCTGTTACTTAATTTCAAAAGTTAAGGACGTTTTTCCAATATTACGTTGTAAACATAAGGAACACGGTATACTATACTATATTTCCCTAACCCAAAAAATAAATTAAAAAATCCTCCAACAATATTTCTTCTCAGAAATCTTTAAAAAAAAGAAGAGAAAAAGAAAAATTAAAAAATCACGTATTATAATTATTATTATCTAATTTCATCCACCGCAAACTTTCTCACGATATTTCTTCCCAGGAATCTTAAAAAAAAAAAAAAAAAAAAAAAAGAGGGAAAGAAAAATTGAAAAATCACGTATTAAATAGGCAGATAATAGGTATGACCTGACGTCGATGACAGGGATTTTTAGAACCGATTTAATTTCGCAGGCTGCGAATTTCCAGTGAATACGTGCTATCACGCGAACACGAGATAATAACAGTCAATTACCCATACGCATGTCGCGAGATTGACGCGAGAACTGCGATATAAATCACCGGGCCGACGATTCGGCCGAGCTAAACGATCAATCGAGAAAGCGAGCGGACTCAATAAAACTCGTATTAAGTAATGCACACGCGTTCGATACGGGCCGCGTCACGGTCCGATGAATGATACCGTTCGAAATAACGCGCGGAGAAAGCCGGAGGGGGTTGCAGAGAGGGTGGCCCGGGGTGAAAGGACAATCGTTATCCGAGTTCAATTACGGGGAGCACGATTCAGTGGATCGGCCGTAAAGCGATTTACCCTTTAATAAGGATTCTCCTTTCTGTTTTCAGACAGAGATAGCGAAGAGGTTAAACGCCATAATTGTTCAGATCCTGCCGTTTCTCGCCCAGGAACACCAACAACAAGTCGCTACCGCTGTTGACAGAGCCAAACAAGTGACCATGACCGAACTCAACGCCATTATCGGGGTGAGTGCACGCCAATGCAAGATAAATTACCCGCCGTTGATACACGCGTGCACGTTGTCGTTACTATGCTTTAACTGTGCACGCGAAAATTTCGGATTTTCTTTTTTCTATTTCCTAGGGAAATTTGGTAATTTTTCCTAGGAAAATTTGGTAACTTCCCCTAGGGAAATTTGGTAATTTTTCCTAGGGAAATTTGGTAATTTTCCCTAGGGAAATTTGGTAACTTCCCCTAGGGAAATTTGGTACTTTTTCCTAGGGAAATTTGGTGATTTTTCTTGTGACCAGAAGAGTTTCGTTATTTTATTAAAATAAATCATTTCGAAATTTAACCCCTTGATATGCAAATAGAACGGAATTTTGTACGTCCGAAAAATACTGTTTAATAATATACTATACTACGGTGTACGTCAGAGATAATTCTTCACGTCTCGGAGACGTCAAAGTCTACAATGGCACATGAATTGAATGACGTCTGCCAGACGTCACTGTACGTCAAGGGGTTAATAAAATTATGTCGAAGTATTTCATTTACTGTCGTACACGCGAAAATTTCGACGCACGTGCAGTTTCCAGCGTGACAAAATGGCGAATCACTCGCCATTGTTGAAATCTAGTTTTTTTCAATATTTCACCTTTCATTGGAATTTTTATTCTTCAAATTTTCGGATATTCGATCATTTTTCCGATACCTGAAAGAATTTCGTTATATTATGAAAATGTATCGTTTCGAAATTTAATAAAGTTAAATCGAAGCACTATTTTTATTGACATTTACGAGCAAATTTCGCCAAACGTGGTCTTCCAACGTGACAAAATGGCGTATCAGTCGCTATTGTTAACATCTGATATTTTATTGTATACGTCATCGGAATTTTTTCAAACAATTTCGACAAATTCGACGCGTAATATTTCATTATCATAGAACACCATAAAACACAAAAACGTATGAATAAAATGCCGGGAATGGGGGAATAAAAACGAACAAAATTTAAATATCACGAAAGCACGAGCAATTACTCGGACTCGATAATTGGAGGGTGCGACTGCCCCCCACGGAACTCACCCTACGTATGGAAATACATGTACATACCTGTGCACCATACGTTTATCATTTTCCCGTTTCCCATTCGGGGCGATTAAACTTACAAACGGTGTACCGCGCATATACATCGGCGACGTTTGTGTTTACTAACGGAACTATCCGGCGACATTACCGGTGGCGCAGCGTTAAGCCCGCAAATTAAATATTAAACGTAGGCCGATGACACGAAAAACAAACACGCACGAGCAATCGAAATCTCTCGCGGGCAGTCGAAATTGAAACGATCCCGCCGCTTTTCTAATGCGAAATCAATTTCCGTTCCCGACCACTGGCCCCCTCCATCCCTGTGCCAATCGATACTCCGCCGGAAGTGATTTGTGTATACACGGGGTGGCAAGGGTGGTTCGGTTCTTCCTCCATCTTTTTACCCCTCTGTTGTTACTTTCATTGTGCATAGTTATCTAAACGACAGGCAGATAAATTTGCAAATTGAAAAGGATCGCGCGGGGCACCAAGAAATTTGTTACGGGCCTGAGGAAATTTGTCCGAGCCTGGGCGGGCATAGTTATTCGTCGCGATTACGCGTTTTATTAGCCGACGATCGTCGGTGTCAGAGCCTGGTTTATAGTTCGCGAAGATGTCGCCTTGATATACGTGATGGCGCTGCGCGTCAGTTTCGCTGAAGCTTTTATAAAAGCATCGAGTAACGCTCGATTCGTGTTTCGATCGGCTCTCTTGGTACTCGGTGATTTATGGAATACTGCGAAGATCCCGGGTTGCGCGTGTCCGTGCGAAAATTTCCGATATTTATGACCTCGCGCATTACCGGATCCGTGTAATTATTATTATCGATACGTCGCTGATAACGCGCGAAGCGAGGTATCGTTTCAATTACGGTTTTACTTCTCGCGAAATAATTTTTCCCCGATGACGTTTCGCGCGAGATATCAATCTGTCGAGTAGCGTATAGAAACGCAACGTTATTTTGAGGAATTAGCAATGGAATTAACAATGCAGGGTACGGGGCTGATTGCGCGTGAAAAATTGAGTCGAAAATGTGGAACGAAGTTTTTTGATACGAAGCTTCGTTTTCGAGAAAATCGAGCTCAAAGATTTGCTTGGCGCGCGGCGTCTGACAACGACGCCATCTAGCGGAGGTCGCTGTGAACTATCGTTTACACTTCTACGCGTCTTTATAAGTATTCCTAATATAATAAATCGGGTCGTATCGGGTCTACAACCTCGATCTTATCACGAACAGCGAGTGTCTGTCAACCTGGTTGCATCACTATGTTTAACAAGCGTGCGCCATCAAATATGCGAGCACCATTTTGTCCAAAACGGTGCTTCGTACGGGAAAAATTTATTTTACATTTTCGACTTATTTTTTCACGCGGAATCAGGTCCACTCGTTTCGAACCACCGGTTATAATCCACCCTGTGTTTACCTGTACCTATAATCACGGCGAAGTGGGCACGAATGACACCAGATAGCGCGGGAAATTAATTTCTTCCACATACGGACCTGTAGGAAAAGTTGAATCCGTTGCGACGGGTCGGGTGAGGGTGAAATCACCTCGGAGGAAAATTTAGGCGAGCTCGTCCGCGGGGCATCGGCGTGTTGAATGGCCGGTGAATACACGGGTCAGGTCCGATTCGCGTTCAGTCCGGCGTGAAACGCATTCGCGGCGGATGAGAATCCCTGGCCGGTGGTAGGAGGAAGCCGATGCACGCCCGAGGAATCCGAAAGCGGACGGATGGATACGATCCTGGCGAATCCCGAATCCTCCTCAATATTGCTCGAGCACTCAATTTCCTCCCTATTAAGCCGCCGGCTTCTCTGCCGGCGTTCTCTTCCTCCACCCTCTCTTCCTCTCTCTCTTCGTCGCACTCGTCTTGCTCGCGCGCGCTCATCCACCCCGTCTCGCTGATCTGCAACCCCTTTCCTCGACCCTGTGCACCCCCTCCCGGCCCACCCTCACCCTTCGCCCCTCGAATCTTATCCGGAGTCTTCCTGCCCGGTTTCCAGGCCGGATAGGTTATAGTGTTACGGCGCACGAGCACCGACTAATCAGCATTCCTG